CATTCGTCTAATACTTTAGTGTTTTGTTGAGACGAACAGAATTCATCTTGGATATTCCTCAAAATCTTGTTATTCCACGTATTGATTATCTTCAAAATAACTGTGAAAGTTAATACAATTATCTTTCTGATGAGGGTTATCGAATGATTGAAATTCATATAACTTCTCAACTAGAAACGAAACAAGGAGTTTTGTTTCTTGTTCATCAAATTATTCAATTAAGAGTAAGTACTTTTAATGAAAATCAAATGTATCTTCAAAAAATGTCACAAATGAAAATGAGAATGAAAGACCTTCAAGAAGAAAGAAGATATTTAAGACAAATTCTTTATCCAGAAGAAAGTGAAACACCATCAACTGAAGAAGACAAAGATTTATCTACTCGTTCTTAATTTAAAAAGAAGTAACGCATTAAAATAAAATACAAATTTAAAACAAAAGAAAAAAAGGAAATATTTTATGACAAATAATTGAATTACATCATTTTTTATAAAGAAATTATGTTAATTGTTCTCTCTTTTTTTCTCATATATTCTTTTATTGTTCTTTAGGAATATAAATATTTAAATACTTCAAAATCAATAACACCTCCACATTGTTTCATAATATTTCTTACTGTTTCTCTAGTATCAAAAGGAGTATGAAGGATATTAAAATATCTTTCCATTTCCATTCTATCAATTAAACCACTCCCATCAATATCAACTAATTCATATAAAACCATTAACATATGGTCTTTTGTAATTTCACCACCCTTTGAAAAATCAAATAAATGATTTAAGGCAAGACAATACTTAACAAATTCAACAAGATTTAGTTCATTATCACCATCAGAATCTAATAACTTTATAACAATTGTAAAAAAATCTCTCATATTTTCAGGGACTGTAAAAATACGTGAAATGTGATACATAATTTCTTGAATATCTATTTTACCATTTTGATTTAAATCTATTTCTTTAAATACGTTTATATATTTCGGACATATTCCATTATATATCCATCTGGTGATATAAACATTTGTAATATTGTCATCACATTATTCGATCA